CATCATCAACACCATCGTCCCTCATCCTCATCATCATCATCATCATCATCATTAGTATCGCCATCATGCTCATCAACATGATGCTCGTCATTATCATCATCATCATCATCATCCTCATCATGATCAGCAACATCAGCATCAACAACAGCATCAGCAGCAACAGCAGCATCACCATCAGTATCATCATCGTTGCAGTTATCACCACCATCGTCATAGCCCTCATCATCCTCATCACATGATCACCATCACCATCACCATCACCATCACCATCACCATCACCATCACCATGACCATCATCACCATCCTCGTCAGTATGCTCACCACCATCATAATCATCATCAGCAGCATCGCCATCGTCAGCGACATCGACATCGATATTACGATCATCACCATCACCATCGCCATCACTTTCATCATCAGCATCATCATCATCATCATCATCATCATCGCCGTCACCATCATCATCGCCACCATCGCCATCGCCATCATCATCATCATCGTTATCATCATCAGCATCATATTCATCACCATCATCATCTTCACGATCACCATCATCACTATCATCATCATCAGCATCATCATCACTATCATCATCACGAGTAGCATCGCAATCAGCAACACTATCATCATTAGCATCACCATCATCATCACCATCACCACCACCACCACCAACACCATCATCATCATCATCAGCAGCAGCAGCATCAGCATCAGCATCAGCATCAGCATCATCACCATCATCATCATCAGAAGCAGCAGCAGCAGCGTCATCATCACCTTCACCATCACCATCACCATCACCATCACCATCACCATCACCATCACCATCACCATCACCATCACCATCACCATCACCATCACCATCACCATCACCATCACCATCCTAATCACCATCACCATCCTCACCACCGTTATCCTCATCATCATCAGCAGCACATTCATCGTCTTGCTGCGTCTCCCCCCTCCGATCATCATCGTCATCCTTCCACTTATTCTTGTCCTCCTCCTCCTCCTCCGCCTCCTTTTTTGGACTGCCCTCCATCTCATCCTGTCTCTCCTCTTCGTCCTCGACTCCTCCTCCTCCTTTCCCCCCTCCACCTCGTCTCTCTCATTCTCATCTCCCTCCTTCCCAAGAGGCGCCTCCGCGGCGGAGCCCTCAAGGGGTCCAAGTGCCCAGACCTCTGAGGCCAGTGCCGCGCGGCCTCGTCGGTGCCCGACCTGCCAGCGCGGTCGACGCACGTGCGCCGTGGCGAGCGGCTCGGCGCCACGCGGAAAGTGCGGGGGGTCGCATTTGTCCAGTCCTCCTGCTCCTCCTGCTCCTCCTCCTCCTCCTCCTCCTCCTCCTCCTCCTCCTCCTTCTCATTCTCCTCCTCCTCATTCTCCTCCCTCCTCCTCCTCCTCCCTCCTCTCCTCCTCCTCCTCCTCCTCCTCCTCCTCCTCCTCCTCCTCCTCCTCCTCTCCTCCTCCTCCTCCTCCTCCTCCTCCTCCTCCGCCTCCCCCTCCTCCTCCCCCTCATTCGCCGAAGGCCCAGCAGCAGCTGCAGCAGCAGCAGCAGTCATCCGACACAGGAGTGCTGTTGATCGATCGCAGTTTTCCTGTGTCGTGGTTCGTGGCTCGCGATCTTACGTTGCAGGTCGTGTTGTGTCACGTGTGCACGCTGCTTTGCTCGCATGACGCTGCAGTTGTCAGTACGATGTCCTGGCGAGGCCCTGGAGGCGAAAACGTTGAAACGCGCACGGACTGATACGTAGAGGCACGGGTTTGAGACCGCCATGCGGGTCAGGTGTCAGGAGGGCGATCCAGGATCGAGGAGACAATGCCCCTGTGTTTTTGGGCCGATCCAGGATCGAGGATCGAGGATTGCTGGGCCTTGCAAGATCGACAATCGAGAAGGGTGATCCAGGATCGAGGATTGCTGGGACTCCAGAAGGCTCCCTGCCGCCACTGCTGGAGCCCCCCTGCCGAACTCCTGGTCAGACGCACCCGGGACAGGCACAGGGGGTCTATTCTTGCCCTCCGAGACCCGGAGAGGGGCAGGTCGAGGGGGGGAGAGGGCCGAGCGAGGGGAGAAATGGTAGGAGGGGTAGAAGGGGCACGCTGATGATGGGGGCGTTAGGACGGTGAGGGAGAGGAGGGGGAGCAGGAGGAGGAGGAGGAGGAGGAGGAGGAGGAGGAAGGAGAGGAAGGAGAGGAGGAGGAGGAGAAGAAGGAGGAGGAGGAGGAGGGAAGAGAAGAGGAGAGGGACGAGCAGAAGAAGAGGTAGGGGGTGAGAAAAGGAAGAGGATGATGAGGCGGAGGAGGTGGAGGAGGCAGGAGGTGGGCGAGGAGGGTGACCTGGGGCTGGCCGAAGACTGGGAGGAGGAACACCGGAGCAGGGCAGTGGCATTGGACGGCCGATCACGGCCACTGCTTCAGGAGCGCGGCTGGAGGAGGAGGAGGGGGATGGGGAGGAGGAGGGGGATGGGGAGGAGGAGGAGGAGGAGCAGGAGGAGGAGGAGGAGGAGGAGGAGCAGGAGGAGGAAGAGGAGGAGCATGAGGAGGAGGAGGAGCAGGAGGAGGAGGAGGAGGAGGAGGAGGAGGAGGCGCAGGAGGATCAAGTGGCGAGCACCTGCTCGCCAGGATTGCGAAGACCTGCTGCCCGCAGACTTGAGAGAGCCCGGCAGTCCCACCGAAACGCCAGCGGTGAGCGCTCTTCGGGGCGAGAGGCGGCAGCCGGAGGCACGGGCAGATCCTTTCGGGGGCGGAAAAGAGGGGGGTGATGACTAGGGGGGGGTGGATATCATGGCGGGGGCCATGATATCTCCCCAGACCTCATGGCGCCTCTTCTTATTGAATCGCTTCGCTCATTCCGCCGGCCCGTGATATGGCATCGCTGGTTTTTGTCTGTGTGTTCGTTGCCCATGTTGCGCTCTTGGGGGCGGGTGTCGTTCGGACGCGTTGCGTGGGGAGTTTTGATGGTGAAGCAGTTCCCTGGGGGTCGTCTCTCGATGGGGCGAAATAGAGTCGTCGTCAAGATGCTTCTTTGGGGGGCCTCTTGGGGTCTGTTGAGAGGCCGTTCGGGGGCGCCTGGGAGACATGTTTGAAGCCTTCTGGGGCTTCTTTTGGGCCTCCTGGGAGTCTCCTGGGGCCTCTTGGCGACATCTTGGGGCCTCTTGGAGGCCTCTTGGGGCCTCTTTGGGACCTCCTGGGCGCCTTCTGGGACGGAGGGCTCCATTTTTGAGTTCTCGGTATCCCTCCTGAGTCCCTCTTGGGCCCGTCTTGGGGCCTCTTGGTCCGTCTTGGGCGGCACTTGGGCCGTCTTGAGGGCTCTCTTGGGTCGTTTCGGCGCCGTCTTGGGAGCTTCGTGGGCCGTCTTGGAGCGGTCTTGGGGGCCTCTTGGGCCGTCTTGGAGCGTCCGGAAGCCGAAAAAGCCAGAACACAAAAAACATCGAAAAAACCAATGAAAATCAACGATTTTGGCCTCTTGGGGCTCTCTTCGGAGGCCTCTTGGAAGGCTCTTGGGGCGTCTTGGAGGCCTCTTGGGCTGTCTTGGGGGCCTTTTGGGCCGTCTTGGGGTCATCTTCGGCGTCTTCGAGCGCTCTTTGGGCGTCTCGGGGGCCTCTTGGGCAGTCTTGGGGGCCTCTTGGGGCACTCTGAGCGCGCTCTGGGGAGCCTGAGAGGCCGCACCCAGAAGGAAAACCATCTCTGAGTAGACTTGGTCGGGCGGCGGTCGGGCGGCGACCGGGCGGCGACCGGGCGTTGGTCGGGGTACTTTTCGCCGGGGGACCCCCAGGGGCCGCCCCGCGCGCGCGAACTAGAAATACGGTTAATACTGTTAACCAGTTACCGGAGTGATATCTCCCCAGACCTCATGGCGCCTCTTCTTATTTCATTACGTCCCTGGCCCCCCCGCTGGGCCGCGCACATGCCGCCGGTCATGATTTGCACCCTCCCTCTTGGACACCCCCCTCGTGACCGCTCCCGAATCCTTGGACAATCTCAACACTCGTCTTAAATTTAAGCTGGGCCTGTCCCTCTACAGGGGGAATATCCAAACACAGTAAAACATAGCCTGGGGATTATTTTTGGGCATCTTTTGAGAGTATGTTTGGGGCATCTTTTGAGCATTTTTGGAATGCTTGTTATTTTTCGTCCCAAATCCCCCCGTAGGGGGACAGGCCCGACCTAATCTTAGATATTACTCGGCTGCGCTACACCGGGGCGGAAGGGCCGGCAGGCTGCTGGGAGTTGCTTATGGCGTCGGTGAACAGTCGGATTTTGCGTGCCACCAGCCTTGCCTGAGTGATCCTCGCCTCGCGCGCCGCGCGGCTCTGATGCCCACGTCCTGTATGCCTTCACTCGCACATGCCCGTCGGTCACCACGCTCGCCCACCCTTCTGTCGCACCCGTCTGTCATTCCGTTCACGTGCACCGAGTGGTCGCGCGATTCTTGAATGGATCGTGAGTTCAGGCCGGAGCCGCTGTGGTAGTCGAGGGGCCAGGCGCGCAGCTTGAACACCAAAACTTACCCGGACAACAAATCAGGGTGAGAGTGGGCACGTCGATTGAAAAGTGCACAGTGCCGGCCAGCGAGGGGGGATCATCAATGATATTCGCCAGAAGTGAGGGTTCAGCAGCACAGCAGCAGCAAACCGTAGCCAGTTTGGCTCAAGGTTCCAGGTGCTCCACAGCTAGGCATGGCTGCTGGTCTACCTTCTGATCTTCCTTTTGGCTTTGGCATGTTCCAAGGATCTTCAACTGAACTGGGTATCTCGACTGCTGCTGCAGTTGGGGCCCGACGACAGACCATGAGTTTGTTCATGCTAGGTCGAAGGCATCGGTGCATTTCGGTTCCGTTTAAGTCAGGTTTATGCACCGCGGATCGCCCTTGGATTGTCCACATGCTTCTGTCTGCACCTATCCTGCGGGCCACGTACCAGGGGCAGCGACGTCCTGTGAGACATCGCATGCGAGCTGTTGCGTCCTCGGGGGAGGCCCCACCACCAAAGGATGGAAGTTGCATGCAGAAGGAAGGTGGTGAGGTCGAGCAATACTTGTTTCTCGAAACGGATTTGGGCAATATCAGAATGTTGCTACGACCAGACTCTGCGCCCTTGACAGTTGACCACGTCTGCACGCTTGTGAACGATGGTTTGTATGATGGCTGCTACTTCTACAGATCTGATTTTGTGCTGCAATGGGGTCTATGGCTTCCAGGACCTGACGGAGAGGAACCTCAAGTGCACAACCCTTACCAAGACATCAAAGCAAACGAGACAGATTTCGGGACGTTTCTCACAAACAAACGAGGCACAGTTGCTGTGGCCCACGGCATCGGAGTCAACGGGAATTCTGATCTATACATCAATTTGAACGACAATGCATATCTTGACACAATGTCATACGGCTATTGTGTCTGGGCTCAAGTTGAAGAAGGTATAAGCGTTGTCGATGCTTTAGCCGCAGCTGTTCTGAAAGGTGAGAAGCCAGTAATACAGCAGGCATATGTGAGTCGAGATCGAAGCTTCAGGCCTCGGCCAACCCTTTTGCAGCAGATGATGTCAAAGTCTTACGCCAGCTTCTGTGAAGATTTCAAACCGAGGAGGCCTATTCCGGATGTCAATTTGCGTTTGCCGCGTGAGGAGGAGTGACTATCGCTGGTATCTCCAGCATCTTGCATGATGAAGCAAGCACATGCCATACTATCACTCCTTCGCTATCCCGCCTCCACCTTATGGAGCTCCTACTTCTCCTCTTCCTCCTTCGCTCGCTTTCCTCCGCCTCCTCATTGCTACTCCGCCTGTGCCCCGCTTGTGTCCGCATTCGGCGCGCGCCAGAAATGCGGACGCATGGTTGGATCTGGTTGGCTCCTTCTCTGATCGGGTGGTCTGGCTTTCTTCGCTTCGGTATGATTTGTTGCTAAGTGATCAGTGATCTGGACTGGTCTGGTCGGCTCTTTCGTGCTCTGGCCGGGTCAGGTATCATCGGATATACAAGGCTTATAGTATGGCAAGGTCTGATGAGCGCCTGACCTAATTTGCTCTGGTCGGATAAAGAGGAGGGGTTAAATAAAGAAGGCCGGTGGGAAGAGTCACCACCCACCAAACCAGCCCAACCCAACCCGAAGGCCTCAATTTGCCGTCCATTCCCAGTGGGGAGGGGGCGTCGGGGACCGCTGACAAAAACACATGTGGAACCCGCACCACCCCCCACCGAAATGCGGGTCTTAGGGTTAGGTTGGGGTGGTCTGGTAGGTAGTCACAGAAGATTCTCGAGCGTTTCGTTGGAGCCTCTCTCTAGGGAAAGGGGGGGTACGAAATCTGCTGCATGCATCGATACATCGGCGCCGGGAGGCGCTGGGAAAATCAGCTAGGCTACGTGAGCTGATTCTCGAACCCCGCTTTTGCTACCCCGGGGTCTGTTTGATCTTGTTTTAAGGTTGCATGCTGCATGTGAATTGCCAGCATCTTATCATAAGAACGCACGTGTGTTGCAATATCACATCTTTAGGCAAGCGCAGTCGTGAAGTGAGCGGCATTCGAAAGAGGGGGATATATCCCCCCTTTTGCCCTGCCCGACTCTCGGGCAGTTCTGCAGGCTTAAGTCGGGCCTGTCCCCCAACAGGGGGATTTTCGACGAAAAATAGAGAATACCCCAAAAATGATAAAACAAAATATTCCAAACATACTCGGGGGACTATTTTTTTGACTATTTTTCCCCACCTAGGCTCTGCCTAGAAGGGTTCTTACCGCCTTTTCCCTACTTAGGCTCTGCCGAGAAGGGTTCTTACCGTCTTTGCTTAGAAAGAGGCCGGGCAGTGTTGCCCGCCCCGGGCGGTTCCCCCGGCATCCGCCCCGCGATTCCCCCAGTTGCGCCCCCTGGGTTCACCCAGCTTAGCTTAGCTAAGCTTAGCTTAGTTTAGCTTAGCTTATCTCATCTTAGCTTAGCTCAGCTTAGCTTTGCCTAGCCTAGCTTAGCCTAGCCTAGCTTAGCTTAGCTTAGCTTAGCTTGTCTAATCTTAGTTTAGCTTAGCTTAGCTTAGCTTAGCTTGACTTCGCTTAGCGTAGCTTAGTTTAGCTTAGCTTGTCTTAGCCTAGCCTAGCTTAGCCTAGCTTAGCCTAGCTTTGCATAGCTTAGCTTAGCATAGCTTAGCTTACCTTAGCTTAGCTTAGCGCAGCGCAGCTTAGCGCAGCGCAGCATTAGCACAGCATATCATAGCATAGCATAGCCAAGCATAGCATAGCATAGCATAGCATATATCAGCATAGCATAACATATTATAGCACAGCGCAGCACAGCATAGCATAGCATAGCATTGCTGAGCATAGCACAGCGCAGCATAGCATAGCATAGCACAGCACAGTATGGCATAGCATAGCATAGCACAGCGCAGCATAGCATACCATAGCATAGCATAGCGCAGCATAGCATATCATAGCATAGCATATCATGTATATGTAGATGTAGATGTAGGTGTAGATGTAGGTGGAGATGTAGATGTAGATATGAGTCTCGCTGTTGATGTTGATGTAGATGTAGATGCAGGTGTAGATGTACATGTAGCTATCGGTGTAGATGTAGATGTTGCTTTCCTAAATGCTCCAACTCCTAGGTAGGGTCGCACTGGGGTATGCTTAAAGGGGCCGGGCAGTGTTGCCCGCCCCGGGCGGTTCCCCCGGCATCCGCCCCGCGGTTCCCCCAGTTGCGTCCCCTTAGTTCAGCGTTGCTTATCTCATCTTAACTTAGCTTATTTCATCTTAGCTCAGGTTTATCTTAGCTTAGCTTACCTTCATCTTAGCTTCGCCGAGCTTTAGCATAGCAGAGCACAGCAGAGCACAGCAGAGCATAGTAGAGCGTAGCATAGCATAGCGCAGCACAGCATATCATAGCATAGCCCAGCATAGCATAGCATAACGCAGCATAGCATTGCATAGCATACCATAAATCATATCATAGCGCAGCACAGTACAGAACAGCATAGCACCACGCAGCATAGCATAGCATAGCAGAGCAGAGCAGAGCGAGCATAGCATAGCATAGCGCAGCTTATCATAGCATAGCATAGCACAGCGCAGCATGGCATAGCATAGCTTGGCATAGCATAGCTTGGCATAGCATAGCATAACAAAGCATAGCATAGCGCAGCATAGCATAGCGCAGCATAGCATAGCATAGCATAACATAGCATAGCATAGCATAGCATAGCATAGCATAGCGCAGCTTAGCATGGCATAGCATAGCATAACATAGCATAGCATAGCATAGCATAGCAAAGCAACTCATGCTGCTTTCCTAGGGGCTGCAACTTCTGGGTAGGTTCGCACAGGTTTTTTTTGAACTTTTTGGCGTACTTTCTGAAATATCTGCTGTTAGGTTTCGTCGGAGATCCCCCCTGTAGGGGACGGGCCCGACTTCACTGCAGACCTTCGCGCACCTCCTGCCCCCCACCCTCCCGCGCGGCCCCCAGCGAGCGGCCTGGGAGGCCCACGCCCCGGAAGGCACGAGGGGTCGAGCACGCTGCGGCGCCGGGGGCCCCCGGGAGGGGGCGGCCACCGGGAGGGGAGGAAGCACACAGACAGAACTCGGCGTCGAGCCCCAGGAAAGCATGGAAGAGTGCGGGAAGTGGGGGGAGGGGAAGGCGAGAACCCAGAAACAGATATCGGAAGAGGTGTGGGAGATCCTGGGATCCGGCTCCGTGTCCCCAGGGCCCCTTCAAATCAGCTGCACTCGCAAGAGGGACCCGCTGCCGGAGTGGCCCCTGGTGCGGGCCCGCAGCGGCCCCCCCCCCGATCACCGGCCTGCGCGCTCGGAGTCGGGCCCCCCCGCGCGCTCCGTCCTTCCCGGTGGCCTGCTCCTGGCAGGCGTGTGCGGCCACAGGCACAAGGCGGGCCCGGGGGGCCTGGGAGCGCCCCGCTGCCGTGCTTGTCACGGTGGGCCCTAACATGGCAGCGGAACCCTTGAGAAGAGGTCGTTGGCAATTCTTATCGCGCGCGGGTCGGACGATACGAGAATCTCCTGCCTCGTAATTATCTCAAATGCTTGTGATCGTCATGCTATCTCCGCCGTCCAACCTCAGTCACCTACCTAGAAACGATGCTGCCACTTTCAGAGCAGGGCACGAAACGCTGTACTGGGTGGGGGGGACGCATGCGGACGGTAGACCTGGAACCTTCGGTGGAGCTCCCTATGGGGCCACGAAGCGCTGTACTGGGTGGGTGAAACGCAGGGAGGAAGAGGAGGAGGGCCACGAAACGCTGTATACCCCCCCAACCCGAAATTCGGGTCAAATTCGGGTCTTCGGGTTGGGTTGGGGTGGTCTGGTAGGTAGTCCGGTGGCAGGCCGAGAGGCCGCCACGCACCCTCTCGGCTCGGCGAAGGCGGCCTGGTCGAGCCGCACCGCCTCAGCGGCGCGGCCCTGCGGCCCCCTCCTCCTCCTCCTCCTCCTCCTCCTCCTCCACCTCCTCCTCCTCCTCCTCCTCCTCTTCCTCCTCCCCCTCCTCCTCCTCCTCCTCCTCCTCCTCCTCCTCCTCCTCCTCCTCCTCCTCCTCCTTGCGGCCCCGCGGCGGTTGCCCCGGCCGAGCTGCGGCGGCGCCGGGCTCCGCCGCTGTCCTTCCGCTCGCCGACCTGCGCGCACGGCGCCCTCGTTCGGACGGAAGGGCGCGGCAGTCGCCGACGGCGCGGCGAATGGGAGGGGCCCCGCCGCGAGATCCAGCCTCGCTTTCGGCGCGCCGTGGGCCACTACGGCGCGGAGGTGTTGCCCTTCCGGCAGGTCCAGGCCCGCGCCGCGAGCGCGGGCCGGGCGAGAGGCCTCGCGGGCGCGCGCTCGCGCTGTTGCAGCGGCGCGGCGGACACGCGAGCGCGAGGCACTGGGGCAAGCTCCACGACGGTGCCATCGCGAGGCGCGATCTCGCGCAGGTCGTCGACGGCCATGTCGAGTCCGCGCTGCGGTGGGTCGGCAAGGACATGCAGCTGAGGACCGAGCAGGGGGTCATGGCGATCGCGGCAGCAGGCATCGCAGCGCAGGAACCAGGAGGCGACGGCGGCGATACCCTTGCAGGAGCTGGCGACCTGCACCCAGCACACTCCCCCTGCAGGGGTGATGGAACCGACCCACGCAGACCCACGCACACCGCCCACACAGGTTGTGGGCCATTAGGGAGACGTTCGTTTGCATCAAGCGGGGGGCCGTCACTGGCTCAGCGCGCATGCAACAGCTTGTCGGCGAGTGCAACGACAACCCGCACACCACCAGGGCCTGCCTGACGAGGCCCAAGCGCGGGCTGAACCTCCATGGAGGCGGCGCCTCCCTACGCGCGCCCGTCCCGCTGGAGCAGCGGTGGCTCAACAGAGGCTAAGCAGGCCGCACGAGGTACCGGTCGCCGAAAGGACCCGCGGCGGAGCGTGGCGCGAGGCGCAGGTGGGCTGGATGCGCCCGCAGCCAGTGACAGGCGGGGCGGAGGTGGATGTTGATCCCCCCGTTTGCCGAGGCACCCGCGGAGCGGCGGTCAGATCTGCCAGCGGCATGCCGACGTGGGCAGCTGGCAACACCGACGGCAGCTCAGATGCTTGCGTGGCCGTGGGGGCGCCGTGCGGGCTGCCGAGAGCGCCCCGCGGCTGCGAGTGCGGCGCCTCTCGCGAGGGGCCTGCAGTGATCGGCTTTTGCGCGGCGCTTTTGCGCGACAGGCCCCCGCTGGTCGATTCGCTTCTCGGTGCCCCCGCTTTTAGCTCCATCGCTGGTGCAGCCAACTCTGCCTCGCCGCCGACGGCTGTCACGACACTGACAGAAAAGCAGGGAACGGACGTCCGAGCCATGGCCAGGGAGGGGGGGGGGGGCCATCGCCGACTCGAGACATCCGCTCGGACCTTCGATCTCTTGCTGCCACGCCTCTTTTCCCCCTTCTCCTCCTCCTCCTCCTCGGGGGGGTCGAGAAGTCCGCGTGCCGATGCGTCGAGAAAACCGAGAGACCTGTTTTTGCGTGACAGCCGGCCCCCGCCCGCTTCCGCCCCGTCTCCCTTGTCCTGTATGTGTGGTCTCGGGAGGGGGCCCTATCATTGTCTTGTATGGCTTTTCCTCGAGAGGGCGGTTTCCTCGGAGGAGATTTTTTGCGGTTTTCCTCGGTTTGGGTGTTTCCTCGGTTTGGGTGCTTTTGCGTGGCGGCCGTCCCCCGCCCGCCTCCGCCCCGCCTCCCCTGCCGCAAGCTGCGCCCCCGCCGCCGCCCGCCGTCCTCGGACGCTCGCTGCCGCCCGCACGAGGGCATCGTCACCAGCACCGGGGAGGAGGAGGAGGAGGAGGAGGAGGAGGAGGAGGAGGAGGAGGAGGGAGGAGGAGGAGGAGGAGGAGGAGGAGGAGGAGGGGGAGGAGGAGGAGGAGGAGGAGGAGGGGGGGAGGAGGAGGAGGAGGAGGAGGAGGAGGGAGGAGGAGGGGGGGAGGAGGAGGAGGAGGAGGAGGAGGAGGGAGGAGGAGGAGGAGAGGAGGGGAGGAAAAGGAGGAGGAGGAGGAGGAGGAAAAGGAGGCAGCTTCGGCCTTCACCCCCTCGATGGGCGTTGTGGACCTGCACCGCGGGCCGCGACCTCTCCTCGCCCGGCCCGTGAGGCGCGACCGGCACGCGCGCGAGCTTTTTCACCATGCCGTCGGCGCCACCCCAACATTCTCATAATACGGTCGAGGGAAACAATTACTGAACACTCCCCCTCCCCCCCAAATTCAGTGTTGACACGCGCGGGGGAAACTGCGGTCGAAGTGCATCTAATCAGACCCACCGCCAACTTTGAACATTGGAGGGAGGGGGAAGCGTTGACGGATGCATGTGGCATGTGTTCGCTGATTTGTTCCGAGGCCTGTATGTGTGCGTCGCCCCCCAGGGGCGACGCGCGCACCGAGCTTTCTGGCCACACCGCTCGGGAGACGATCTCCTACAAGATGCTTGTGCTAGATGTTCGGGTCGGGCGCACGCCGTCAAGGAGGGCATCTAGGACTAGTGTGTCTCTGCGCGCCCCAACGCAATCACCACCATCACCAGCATCGGGGGTGGACAGAATCCCCACCCTGACACCTCGATTCGTGAATTGTCCGTTTCCGGTTCTCGAGAGTGCGCCGCGGCCATCATTTTCCAGGCTTGCGCCCGCCAGGTTTGGGCCCGAGGTTGCTTTCACTACAGACGGCCTGGATTAGTCGGTCGACCCTGCCAAATCAAGGGTGCCCTTGTGTCCTGTGTCTCGCGACCCATGCCTCCTGGCATTCCTGTGGCAATGTGACCCTTGGAGGGGTCTTTTGTCCTCTCGCGTGGCCTGTCCAATGACGTCCGACTGTAGACCACATAAACGGGGGTTCTGCCCATCCACGACAGCACCATCACCGCCCTCATCAGTACGATAGTCAGGTTGCTGACGAAGGAACCCTTTCATTTGGGGAGGGGCTCGTGCTCCCCAATTGTTTTACAGCTTGCCTTCGGCTTTCCTCTGGGCTCCCTGGGGAAGTCGACGTTAAGCTCGTGAAAAAAATGAGACCTCGCTCCTTATCTGGGGTTCCTTAAGACAGCGGCTCGACTGTATCCGCCTTCCGAGGGGGGCGCGCGGGCTCCAGGCCCCTGGGCAGGTGCGCCGGCCGCGTGCGGCGGCCGCCATGCCGGCGCGGCCATGCTGCGGCTGGCAGGGCGCCCCGTGCGTGGATCCGGTGCAGCAGCAGCGGCTGATCGGCGTGCGGATGCTGCTGCAGGCTCCTCCCCCCGCGCCGGGCACCGGAAGGGGGAGGGGGAGGATCAGAGGAGGGATAGGTGCCCGTGCCGCTACCCTCCTCTCGTTTTCTCTTTTTGGGGGGCCCTCGTCGCCACCGCTGGATTCGCCTTGAAGGCCTCGTCAGAAAGCACCCTCGGAGAGGTCCGGGGAGTAGCGGTATCAATACCTTTTGGCTTCCCCAGGGGAGGAGAAGGAGGAGGAGGAGGAGGAGGAGGAGGAGGAGGAGGACGAGTACGAGGACGAGGGCGAGGACGAGGAAGAGGAGGAACGGGAGGAGGAGGAGGAGGAGGAGGAGGAGGAGGAGGAGGAGGAAGGAGGACAGGGGGGGATGATGGTGATCGTGGTGTGGGGGTGCATGTGCATGCGTATGATCAGAGGATGATCAGTTCTAGTTGAAGATCCTTCCAAGGTCGGAGGCCCTGCTCCAGGCAGGCCGCTTCACAACACAATTTTCATCAGCCCAGGTCGACGAAGCTGGTGCCAGACTTTGATGGCAGCCCCCTCCCACGGCATGACAACACGTCCCGCCCCTCTTTCCATGGCTGCTTGCACATTCCTCTCAGGTGGAGGCTGCACTGAGCAAAAACCTCCATCCTCCTCCTCCTCCTCCTCCTCCTAACCCTCCTCCTCCTCCTCCTCCACCTCCTCCTGCTCCTCCTCCTCCTCCTCCTCCTCCTCCTCCTCCTCCTCCTCCCCCTCCTCCGCCTCCTCCTCCTCCTCCTCCTCAGAGGATGGTCCGGAGCGCCATGGAGCGCCCCCGCACAAAAACGCGCAAGGTTTCAGATCGTCGGCGGCAGGGGCGGGATCGCCATCTCTCCACCTATCACGAACAGGCACGAGCTGCACGCGCTGCCTGAGGAGGTGTCGGGGCTTGCATGGGGGTCGGCCCAAGCTGGGCTTCCAGAAAGAATTTAGTCCGCAGGCCTCGCTTGGTGGATTCCCGAAACCCTGAATTCAAAAAGATTGCCATATCTTGGGAAGTCGAATTTTGCTTCCGCTGGCGGAGCCGCCCTCGTTTTGCTTCCGCCGCCTTCCGCCGACCTTCCGCCGACCTTCCGCCGCCTGCCGCCACGGAAGAGATGGCAACCTCCTCGATCCTGGACGGCAAGGCCCTTCCTGGAACGCTCCACATGAAATAATGGATTTTGCTTTCTCCTTACAGGAGGAGCGTCCAGCATATCGCAACCTTCACGGACGCTCGGGCTGGCTGGTGGCACATCTCTTCGAGGTCGCTGCGGCCCGCGGGTGCCAGTACGTTCTTGATCAGACGCAAGCCCATGCGATCGCAAGTTGACTCGGCGGCGAGCGAGCGGGGGGAATGAGAAGGAGAATGCCTTCTTTGAATGCGGTCGGACTTCTCAGAAGCCCTCGCGCCTTCTGTGAAGTTTTCTGTGTCTACGGGGAAGGCTTAGAAAGCTTCTAAGAAGGCTGGGGGACTTCCGAGACTTCTGAGAAGGTCCGTCCCTTCTCATTGCCCCCCTGGGCTCGCCGCCGATTGACAGGAACATCATCTTCACTGAATTCACACCGTTCGGCAGCCCAGTCGGCTAAACGATCCGCCGCAGCACTATTAAGATACAAGTCGGCATCAGATCCCCTCGTTGCTTCTTGAGCCTGTGATATGGGTCCCAGAGATTAAGCATATTACGCTTACCTGTACAACGGAGGCTGCTCCTCGAAATTGACCACCCTCAAAGAGGCAAAGTGGATCCTCGTTCTCGTGAGCTCGTGACCGATCTCAGCCTCGACGTTGAGGCTGAACGCGTAGTCGCTGGAGGACCGCCCAGCTCGAGTACCCCAAAACGCGTCCGTCTCGTTCGCCACCTGCCAGTGTGCAGCCAGCGGCCTCCGCGCTCCTCCAGAATCTGAGAAGAGTGTGCAAGAGGGCGACCAGGCGGCTGCCACCAGACTCAGTGGGTAGGCGCGCCAGCTGCGTGACCGCCCTCTCCTGGGGCCTCAGGCGCAGACGTTCGCACTGCATGAGAAGCCAGCCTTACACAAGGAGCCCGACTTCGCTTACATACCACCAATCGCATGCGCAAAATTGAGTTGCCCAGCTCCAGAGCGCCACGGGGAACTGAGAGCAGCAGCGCGCAACGCATCCACCGTGATATCGGGCAGCTGGTCCCTAGACTCTTCATTCAGAGGGAGCTCCACCGAAGATTGCGCATGTATACCCCGGATGCCTTTCCAGAACTTCATCGACTTGTTAGCCATCGAAGGTGGCTTGGCCAGGTCGTTGTTCAGGCTGCCCCAAACAAAGATCTGGGCCGCCTTCGCTCTGGTGCAGCGGTGAGCACAGCCGGCCCTTATCTCAACCGAGCGCGAGGCCCACTCCTTCCGCTTCTCCATCGGAGCCTCGGCATCATCGTCGAGCACCGCCTGCGCCCGATTCAGGATTGCGCCCGCCGAATCGTCGGAGTGCGGTTCCAGAAGCACGTCGAAGCCAGAGGAGGCGGCCCATTGCCGCACCCACGGGTCGACGGCCTCCAAGACTTTCGAGTTGCCGACGCGGCCGAGCCAGCGTCCGAAGTCCAGCGAGTCCCTGTCAGCCTGCTGACCGCTCTGGGAGACTGAGCACCCAGCCCTCTATCAGCAATCAGCATGGAGACTTGATGAAGAACCGATTGCCGAGGGCTGCGACCCTGTCGGGCCGATCTGACCGCAACAGCCCATCCCATCTCGGCCTCGCCTCTTTCCGCGAGCTTGGGGGGGGGTGTCCAACTTGCGTCAGCGATATCTCACCGCACCTCCGCCAACACGAAACAGAGACGATGGACCGACCTTGTCGTGACGACCCAGCGACTCCCCCTCCAGAGAAGTGCTCACCGACTCCCACGCAGACTGCAACGACGGCGCGTCGGTGGCCTGCTGGGCCAGGAAGAGGGCTGCTTCCCTTCCCAACCGATTGGATATCCCGAGCAACCAATCATCGGCTCTTTAGCGGAGAAGGAGAAGGTGGAGGTCGATGTGGAGGAGGAGGAGGAGGAGGAGGAAGATGAGGATGATGATGATGAGGAGGAGGAGGAGGAGGAGGAGGGGGAGGAGGAGGGAGAGGAGGAGGAGGAGGAGGAGAGGAGGAGGAGGAGGAGGAGAGGAGGAGGAGGAGGAGGAGGAGGAGGAGGAGGGGAGGGGGGAGGAGGAGGGGGGAGGGGGAGGGGGAGGGGGAGGGAGGGGGAGGAGGAGGAGGAGGAGGAGGAGGAGGAGGAGGAGGAGGAGGAGGAGGAGGAGGGAGGAGGAGGAGAGGGAGGAGGGAGGAGGAGGAGGAGGAGGAGGAGGAGGAGGAGGAGGAGGAGGAGGGGAGGCGGAGGAGGAGTAGGAAGAGGCTGCGAGGAGGTGGAGCCTCCTGTGGCCTGTCCAGCTCCTGCACCCACGTGTTGGCATCACGTCCCAGGAGGCTCGGCAAAGGCACTGGCGCCCGCGGAAACGCAGTCGCACCCTCGGCAGGTTGACTCGCGTGGCCAGGCTGGCCGAGATTATACACATCCCAGGATGAGGAGGAGGAGGAGGAGGAGGAGGAGGAGGAGGAGGAGGAGGAGAAGGAGGAGGAGGAGGAGGAGGAGAAAAAGGAGGAGGAGGCGGAGGTGGAGGTGGAGGTGGAGGAGGAGGAGGAGGAGGAGGAGGGGAGATCTTCGACCCAGGAGGGGGCTACCTACAGGTGGTGGCCTGCGCATAGATGACCGTCCCACCCAGCGAGAGCAGCCGCGCAAGATCGCCCAAACCCCTCGGCCTCCGCGTGGAAATCACCACCCACCAACCAGGCGAACCCGTGAGCGTTGAGCGTGGCCAAGTAGCAGCCCACGTCGTGGAGTATGCCCAACGCGCACGATCAGCCATCGCACGCCCAGGCAGAATCGTGGGTTCGCCTCTGAATGGAAGCGACGTGACCATGGCACGACCACGCGATGGGGCTGCCAAGCCCCCGCTGGTGCCCTCAGCGCTGCCGGTGTACAGTGCTTCTGACCAGTCACCCGACCTGCCTTTGTCGGGCGTCTGAAAATCAGCATGTCCAGCCTCTCCAGCACGGTGTCCCTGAACAGCAACGGCTGTGTCACTTCGCCGGGCGAGACAACGCACCAACTGTCTGGAGTCCGGGCAGGTCAGCGTGGTGATCTGCCCGTTGACGGCTGGGCCAGCGCCCGCGTCGCGCTGTCTGGTGCTCAGGTCGTCCATCGCCTGAGCCCCTGCACGCTGACGTAGCACCCCCAACCCCTGAGCCGCAGCAAGAGGGTCCAGCCCTCCCCCACCTGAAGCTCGAACCGCAGCAGGAGGGCCCAGCCCCCTCTCCCCTGAAGCTCTCGCTCGGAGTCAGCACCCGTGCCGGGCCCGCCAGACCATGCGCGCCGCCTGGCTGTCTCTACACTTGTGCCGACCACGCGATGCCCCTGGGCAATGACAAACGAGGGTTGCCCACAACATCCTGACCCAGAAGCCCCTGAAGGCGGCGCCGACCAGCACGCCCTCGCCGAGGAAGTAAGGCTTGAAAGAATTGTTGCACACTTTGAAATAACCATCCCACCAATGCGACTGTCAGCAAAGCCACCAGCACGCGAAGGCGAGTTAACTGCAGCACGATTGAAGTAGCCGTCCCACCAGCACGTCTGTCAGAAAAGCCACCAGAATGCGTAGGCGAAGCAACTGCAGCACCCATGGAAAGGACCATCCGCTCTGAAGCAATTACTGCGTCATTGGAAATAGACATCCCACTGTGAGCAAAGCCACCAGAACGCGCAGGCGAGGTACATGCAGCACTGTTGGAAATAGCCATCCCGCCAGCACGTCGCTCAGCAAAGCCACCAGAACGCGCAGGCGAAGTGACTGCAGCACCCCTGGGACAAAAAAACATCCTCTTATGAAGTAACTGTAGCAGCCTTGGGAATACCCATCCTATCGGAAGTAACCGCAGCACCCTTGGGAGTGACCGTCCCACCAGCAACCCTGCCAGGATGCCTGTGACACGCAGCCCGGTCTGCGCCGACG